GCAGGACGAAATTAAAACAAGTTTTTCATAAAAATGATTAACTGCTGCTGCAATCCTTTCAATTTTTGCCTTTGTTTTTTGTTTTTTTTTTTTTTGTTTTTTATTTTTCGCACAAACAGCTAAGGTTTGGAAATCTAATCGCAAGGCTGTAAGCCCATTCCTTGCACATAATAATATTATGAGCTTGTTTCCTGCCTTCAATCAGAATGCAAATAATGTGAAAAATAAGCTGGAAAGTTTGGCTGGACAAGGTGAACAGGATATTTTTACGATTGTCAAAGAATGTGGCTTACAATTGAGTCTTTGTAAGTATATGCAGTTAAGAATTTGAAAATAAATTGATTATACTTTAGTTAAGCACATAAATTAGAGTTCATACTCATACCTATGACTCTCTCTCTCTCGGTGTGGTATATTGTACTAGATTAATACTTTAGCCGACTCTTCAAGTCAAGTCAAGTAGCATTAATTTCCAAGTCTCATTTTTCTCATTTTTATTAAATTTCAGTAACTATTATGGGCATAAAAGTAGAAGAAGACAGCGACAAGCACAAAAAACTTTTGCAGTCATTTACTGCGTAAGTAATACTTCATGGGTCTTTATATGTAATACATACAAAATCCATAACAAAAAGTCATTAATTAATACAAACAATATTTGAAATACGCATTCAACTGTTTTAAAGCCTTATTGATAACATGGGAATAGACCTCTTGCTCGGCTGGTTGGGTCTGCGGTTTCTTTCACACACTCCGCATTATAAGAGAATTGTTAAATACTTGCAAGACTTAGTACAAACTGTAAGTAAGCAAAATTTGAGACATAAAAATTTTATATATACATACATATACATATATAATTCTTTGGTTATAAATTTTTGTATGTAGTTGATTACAGAAAATCTTCACTCAGAGGACATGAACAATTTCGCAGAGGACCAACGAACGATGATTGATTTGGGGCTAAAGGCTCTACGTCAGGGAGTATTTAGTGAAAAAGATGTCGAAATTGAATGTTTTACAATGTTTGCTGCGGTAAATTATTACTTTATTTAATTATTTACATTCTTTTTCATAGATAAAATTATTTACATAAACTTGTATGATTTCTCTAATTGTGATAATAATGGAACCCTTTTAGAACAAAGTACCCGGAAATTGTAAATAGAACGCATAATATTTAATTATTCGTCAGTATTTACTTTTTCGCTTTTTAAGTAAGCACCACCAGATGTTAAACATTTATGCTAACGATTTATCCAGTCCTTGAAACACTTTCTAGGATGGCCTTCAGCTCCTTAATCGAATTTTCTTTTATCTCTTCGACGGACTGAAACCGGGTTACATTTCGCTGATTGTTGACTTGTATGCATGTCAAGCCCATATCTGGTCAGCAGTTATACAAGGTGCTTTCCAAAGTAAACAGGACTTAAAAAAAAACAGAAAAAACAGAACAAATGGTGTTTTCGGCAAAATAAATTTATTTTATTAAATATTTGCACGGTCCGAAAGCATGTCGAACGAGTGTTTTAGCTCTCTGGCCGGTATGGCCGCCAATATGCCGGTGCAATCCTGTTGAATGTCCACTACGTCTGCATAATGCTTTCCCTTCATGGGCAAGAACATTTTTCCGAAAAGGAAGAAGTTGCACGGTGCCATAACAGGTGAATACGGGTTCAGTGGTTAATGGTTAAATTGTGATTGTTGGTCAGATAATCGCCCTTCGAATGTTGGATTCTGAGCAATTTTTCGTCGTCAGTCAAAATGTGCGGAACAAACCGTGCACACACACAATGGCAAAATTAATTGCAAGAGAATCTGATACAACATAGCATTTATTATACAAATTTTGCAATATGTTTTTAGATTATTTAAAGTCTTTTTATTAAATTTTAAATGTATATATGTACATAAGATACATACAAATATTAAATTAATCCAAATATATAAAACTATCCTTTTTCAAGGCTTATGAGACTTCTGTTAGTGCGTCATATACTTGCCTGGTGATGTTGGCTATGCAACCCGAAATTCAGGAGCGTGTTTTCCAAGAGATTCGCTCTGTGTTTCCGCACGAAATTACATCGGTTGAATATGACGATCTAAAGAAACTTCCCTACTTGGATATGTTTATAGCTGAATCGTTGCGTTTAGCACCGCCAATACAATTTATCGGACGGCAAAGCGAACAGGACGCCGAACTCTGTCCAGGCGTAATACTGCCTAAAGGCATGCAAATTGTTATACCAATTTACGAATTGCATAGGCGTAAGGAAATTTGGGGTCCCTACGCACATCGTTTCAATCCGAATAACTTTTTGCCCGAGAACATTGAAAAACGTCATCCATATTCTTACATGCCTTTCTCGAAGGGCTCACGGAACTGTATTGGTAAGAGTGGAAATTATGGCATTTCGCATTTTTTTATTTATTAACTAATTTGTATTATAGGCTTTCGTTATGCTGAAGTTTCGTTGCGTATCATATTGATACATGCCGTGCGAAGTTTAAAATTTTCCACAACTTTTAAATATGAAGATATCGTTCACGTGCCACATATTTCACTGCGTTATAAGATCCAACCGCCATTACGCATACAAGTCAGAGCAAACTAAAATGGGGAGATTGTTATCAGCAATTACTGAGAAACACTACATACATATATGTACTTATGTAGTTTAATAAACGATTTCCTAAAAACTGTAACTAGTCTCTTTATATTAATATTATATTACCTATACACGGGTGCATAGTCAAATATTGTAGCAACTATTTTGTTATAACGGTGTCCTATAATATTCTGAAGTATATACTGCCAATCAAGATTCTTTTGGTATGATATATTTACTATAAGGCAGGTAGAGTTTCTCAAAAACTTTAAAATAGATTTGATGGGATAGGCAAAATGCTGTTGGAGAGTTGTGGTAAAATGAAAATTCGAAATCTGCAATGACTTCGTGTGCACCCTAAGCCCTAAGTACACCCTAAAGTATTTTCGTAATGACATCTGTAGAATATAACGATTTGAACAAACTCTATATTCGGACATGGTTATATCGATATCATTTAGTTTGTTTCCTAACTGCCAGCAGCTGCTGCTGGAAGAACAACACTAAGCGAATGAATAAAGCAAACAAGCGGAACTATTTAAATGATAAGTATGACGAGAAAATTTGAAATTCCGTTGATTGTCTTTTTGTCTGTCCGTCCATCCGGGCAAGCTGTAACTCGAGTAAGAATTGAGATATCTCGATGAAACACTTAAGTTACAACAACCAAATTTGCAAAGTACAAATTTTATAAAAACTTTTACCGTCGGTGTGAAAATGGAAGAAATCGTAGTATAATTCCGCCCACTAACCATATAACGCTAATGTTAAAAACTACTAAAAGCGCGATGAATCAACACCTAAATACGTCAAAAATGTTAAATTTTAACACCGAGATGGTACTAGTGAGTTTTATGGGAACCGATGTGAAAATTGATATATAAATCTGAAATTAAGTGATAATCTTTCTCTTATAATAGTTTATTTATACGTCAATAATGTGTTCCATCGGAATAATACTTCCCGTTGCCCCCATATATTAAATATAACTATTTTCGAACTTCTGTGTTGACTTTGTACCGCATATATCGATCAATATGTGAGTTATGTGTTTTATTCAAAACAGTGTATCTTTGTGCCTAAAAAAGATAAATTTGAGCGAAAACTTGGCCTAGCCCTTGTATAACTAATATCAGGATTTTCGAACATCCGGCTGACTTTACTCTATACGATTTGTTTTACACCTGAAAGTATGTATTTCCTTGGCTTCGATTCTTGTCATTTGCAAGAGTAAAAAAAATTTTGGTTGCACCCGAGCGTAGGACTTCCTTACTTGTTGACACATTTATTTAACAGCTGTTCCTGCATGGCAGCAGCTATTTTCTGTTAGTAGAAATTTCACTAGTAGAAACTAGCAGCTCTCTCAGCCAACAAATGAAATTACTGATTAGCTTATCTATACCTTTTTGAGTTTCTACAAAAATGTGTAATTGGTTATTTTTAAGTTTGCACTATTGGCATGTAAAAATTTAAAACAAAAATCCATTTTAAAGCTCAATTCACAATTTTTATTGCGGCAACATACTTTTGCCGACTAGTGTATATGTTGATAAGATTTCTATATTTCTGCTTGGTTTCCAGCAAGAAAAACTAAAATAATTATAAATTTATGTATTTCAAATGTTTAAAGTGTGTGTATATGTGTATATATTATATATATATATATACATGGATATCTTTTTTTGTTAGCGCTAATTATCAATTATAATATATATTCACAGCTATGGCACAATTTCACTCGTTAAACTGTTTAAAATGTGCGACCATAAATATTTTAATAAGGCCTAAATGGCCCTCCACTGGCAAAAAACTTTCGCAAATTATAGTTTTTCCTGTTTAAATTCCAGACAAGTACTTTGCGTTTAATATATACAATATACGCACAATTTTCATATATTTAAAGGCATATATGTACTTTGTTATATTACGAAAAAAAAATGTATTACTTATAAATTTTCACAATCTTATTCTACCGATTGTGTCTTTTTTTGTGTTTAGCTGTTTTCACACCCGATTTTATCGCATGGCAATTAACGTCAAATGATATTGTTACACATCAAACTACATACGAAATGTACATATATAAAAGCTGTCCGCTGTGGCATCAGTTCTTTTCATTCAATATTCCGTGCTGAAACGTGATGTCTTTAACTGCTCAGTGTGAAAATGGGTGGTTTAATTAGTATAGAAATGCTAATTATAACGGCAGTTGTTCTCTTACTCTACGCCAGTTGGCGCTTGCGCCAAAAGCAGAAATACTATAGCAATGTAACTTCCAAGTTGCCTTCCATTGGTGGTCTACCGTTTATTGGGCAATCATATAATTTATTTAATGTGGAGAGTAAGTGTTGTCACATATTGTTGTCGTTATTGCTAAAAAAGTGTTGCAGAACTAAAGAGTGATTGCATTGCCATAAAATTACAGCATTGTTAGGTAAAATTAGTGACGGCTTTGAGAGCATGAAGACATCGACGGGTTGCATATGGATGGCAACAATGCCGTACGTGCTTACCATCGATCCCGAGATCATCAAGCTCGTCACAACCTCGCCTGATTACCTCAGTAAAGCCAGAGATTTGTATACACACTTTGATAACGGTGTACTCAATGGCATCATCATGAGTCCAGGTGATGGCGTATAACTTCTATAGGTATACATTTTCTTTGAGTTTTTTTTTTTTTGTTTTTTTTTTTTTTTTTTTTTTTTTTTTTTTTTTTTTTTTTATTTTTTGCACGAGTATAAATAAAATGGAAAGCCAATCGCAAGGCTATCAGTCCTTTCCTTGCACATACTAATATTTTGGGTTTGTTTCCTTACTTCAATGAGAATGCAATCAGTGTGAGGCACAAGCTTGAAAGATTGGCTGGGCTAGGTGAACAGGATATTTATACAAGTATCAAAGAATGTGGCCTACAGCTGAGTCTTCGTAAGTATGTAGCGATGATAAGTTCGAAGTAAACTCTTTTGCATGTTAATAAACTCAAATTTAAAGATCATAAAATAACTATACCTCTGCTTTTCTTGAATGGATAGCAGCGAATAGTCTTTTTTTCTTTCACAAAACGTTTAAACATATGTGTTGGGCTTAATCCCCCCTTGTGTTTATGGTGTACGTTACCTGAATAATTTTTAAACTTGAGTTTGTAAGCTAGTTTTGTATTTGTAAAAACAATGAAATACTTCAGATACATGAATTTAATTTTCATTTTTATTAAATTTCAGTAACTATTATGGGTATAAAGATAAAAGAAGACAGTGTGAAGCATAAGGAACTCCTGACGGCATTTACTGAGTAAGTTACGATGATCGGCCTACCACTTGAATAATAATGAAAAAACACTATACACATTAAACTGCCCTCCAGCTTTATTGATCACATGTCCAAAAACATCGTACTCAATTCGTTTGGTCTAGGCTTTCTATCCAATACTCCACATTATAAAAAAACTGTCAAATATTTGCAAGCATTAGTCCGAACTGTAAGTAGAAAAATAGTACAAATTTAATAAATAAATATATATAAATCTATCTTATAAAACATTGCAGCTGATAGAGGAAAATCTCGCAAAAAATGTTGAGTCGGAGGCCATAAACTATTTTGAAGAGCACAGACACTCGATGATTCATTTAGCGCTCAAAGCACTGCATAAGGAAGTATTTAGTAAAAAGGATGTGGAAATTGAGTGTTTCACAATGTTTGCTGCGGTATTACAATCTGGAATTTTTAATATTTTTATTCAGTCCAACTGCAGTATTTTTCGTTTGCAGCTCGTTTTTCGCTTTTAGAACTATAAACAATTTTCCAAATGCTTTGAATTTATACGTGTATCTGATACTAAGTCTCGAAACGTACCCTTATAATTCCAGTCTTACGAGACCTCCGTTGGTGCGGCATACACTTGCCTGGTGATGTTGGCAATGCATCCTGAAATACAGGAACGTGTATTCCAAGAGGTTCATTCCGTGTTTCCGGATGGAATTACAACCGTTGAGTATGACGATTTAAAGAAACTTCCCTATTTGGATATGGTCATATCGGAAGCATTGCGTTTAGTACCACCAATAACCATTATCGGACGGGAAGTTGATCACGACACCGAACTCTGTTCAGGTGTAATATTGCCCAAAGGCGCACAAGTTTATATACCAATTTACATATTGCATAGGAGTAAAGAAATTTGGGGTGCAGACGCACGCTGTTTCAATCCGGACAACTTTTTACCCGAGAACATTGAAAAGCGTCACCCATATTCTTATATGCTGTTCTCGAAGGGCCCACGTAACTGTATAGGTAAGAGTTGAAATTATTTTGTGGTTTTTACGTTTATCGATTTATACATCGCAATTTGTTTGACAGGCTTTCGTTATGCTGAAATCACATTACGTATCATGTTGATCCATTTGGTACGGAATCTGAAATTTTCCTCAACTACTAAATTTGAGGATATCGTTTTAATACCAAAAGTTACAATGACTTATAAAAATGAACCACAAATAAGCATAGAGGTCAGAGCAGACTAAACTGGAAAAATTGATATCATTCGAGATAATTGCACTATATATATATATATATATATATATGATTACTTGATAATATAGCTATTCGCTTTATACAAATTTTACATGCAGGTGTACAGTGAGCAAATAAATGGTGTATTCAAGATATGAGCATGTGTATATTTATTTAACTCGCTTTTTAGAGATCTCCATATAGATCTCTTCATTAGACTCATATTTCCACCTGGCGACTGACTTTATCAAGTTGGTAATAGAAAGAAGTCGTCAAATAAAAAAGGTCTCGAGAATATAGTGGCTAGTGTGTTTTCAGAATGTAAAATTCAAAGCCTTTTAATATCTAATAAATGCTCTACATAAACACAAGTAATGTTTTTCTGTGACTTTTCTCATTGTTTTGTTCAAGAAACCTTAGGTTAAGGTCTGCCATGTGTGATTGATGCTGAAATGTCTAGATATAGATCATTTAATATTCATAAATATCCGTTAAAACTAAAATGTGCCAAAAATGTTTGAAACCAAGATTTTTCGTCACAATGTTTTAACGACTTCTTTATTGGCTTCGTCTGAAATATTTATG